CTAAATTGTAATATTCAAACGATTTAGTTGTTAGAAAGCGAAAAAAAAATTATATAACCAAAAAATTAAACTAAATTTAATTTTAAAAAAATTGTAAAATTTTCAAAAGTGAAAAAAAAGTTTTTTCCGTAAACTTTATTTCTATCAATAAAAAGTATAATTTAACAATTTTATGATATAATATTCTCAATTTATAGACTTAATTTACGATTATAATGACTAAGTTTAATGATTAAGAATTTGGAATACCCCATATGCTCATCTACATATCTATCTTGAATAGTTTTAGGTGTTACATACAACCGTTAGCAAAGCTATTGTACTCTATAGCAACATGATGCAAGAGTGTAAAAATAACTTCATAGAAGTTAAGGGAAATCATTCCCTAAGGTATACAACGGAGACTAGAGGTCACTTAATGGGATATTTTATAGCGTATACTATTTCTTTAGTAAAAACCGCCACTAGCGTTTTATATTTRGTCCACCTAAAATGSAAAATAACGTAACAACATTTTCGGAAATTTACAGTGCCATGAATGAAACACGAAATATAATGGAACATGCGTGAAAAAATTTTAAATTTTGGTTAAAACTGGTTAATATCAGAGGGCAGAACCAGAAGATGTTGGGCMTATGTAATGAAGTAGTGAATCGTAATCAATGAGACACTCAATTTYGAWTTTTTTGATGATACGTTATTTTGCATTTCCGGTGACGATATGCTCCTATAACTTTGACGACGGCTGTGTATGTGTAAATATTTAATTCTACAAAACACAATTTTATTTATTTTTGTTAATTTTTGAAAGTAATAGTTCAACACTTTGTGCGATATAATCACTTATTGCAATTGCAAGTAGCATGACAGCATTTAAATGTATAAAAAATCAAAACTTATGAATCATACCTAAAATCCCCAATATTCACAAAAATGATTTGCTCTTAACAATAACTTTCACAATTTTTAGAAAACGTATGAAATTTTATTATTTTTTATGGTCATGGTAACTTTATTTAATTAAAAACTTGAACTATTGCTCTGAGCACTTTTAAGCTGGCAACGCCACCAAATCAAGTAATTCAAATATGGATATTTTGAATTATTCGCAGCAAATTAATTTACAATTTTATCACAACTGATTGGAATATTACACACATACATATAAAAACTATTAATTTCACAAAAAAACATTCAAAATGTAACTTTTGGCAAAGAAAAAATATATGGTAAATAAATACTTGTAGGTAAATGTGTGTTTATATGTATGTTCTACAAACATACGTAGGTGTATGTGCATTAATAGAATTAAAAAAGACTTATTTCACAGTTTCTGTATTCCAATTAGACACAGATGTTTCAAATAGACACACAAAATATGTATATATACATATATCTATAGTATTAGTACATCTGTTGTAAACTTTATATGCATATACATACATATGTATAGATATGCTTTTAAAAAGTCTACACTTGCAATTCATCAATCAGGTTTCGCGACGCACAAATTTTCCGTTGCAACAACACACGCGCACAAACGACAAATTGACTTTGAACTAATTTCGGCTATGCTTTTCCCAAGTGATTGTTGTTGTTACACTATTTACAACATTTTCAATTGATTCTGCATGTTTTGCTTATGGCCACTGTGAACTTCACCCATTTATGCACTTCACTTCTATAACACACACACACACACACACATATTCATCTGCAATTACACTTTCCGCGAATTTTCGTTTGACTTCGTCGTCCAATCCGTTCGATAAATCAACGCATACTACAAGTTTCGGTTGTCTTACAATTTCTATAATTTATCACAGAAATAGCAGCGACAGGCGCAGTCACTTCACAATGGGTCGATCGGCCGCGCAATGTGTCATACTAACACCCACCTTCGAGGCGGCGCGGTAGTGGCTACATTGGATTAGCGCTACGACACAGGCACCCTTACGACATATGCTGCTTGGTCGTCTAAACTGGTTAGTAGCAACTAAATATTGCTGCTACTGCTTGCTTTGTTGTTGTTGTTACCGCACTATTTAATTGACAGATGATGAACATATATATGCATGCTTGACTCTTGCGTGTGTGTGTGTTTCAATATCATTTCATACCTACAGAAAATACCGACAAAACTTGTTTGACCACATTTTTCGTTTAAGTCCTCATACTAAATGGTGCTGTGAAGCCACTGTAGTAGGAGATGGCACTAACAGAAAAATGTATAGCTAAGTCATGAACCGTATTTTATAGTTTAACAGCTATGGTATTAGTATGTTAAGATTAATATGGGTAATTTTATCGACAACCGCAATATACGGAAAATGGTAATTTAGGTGCATGATGAATTTAATTGGATACTTTATTTCGGATTAAATAGTATTGAAATGGAAACAGAGTATGATAGTTTCGTTCACCTAACGGTTGTTTGTAACACCTAAAGCTAATCGAGATAGATATAGGGTTATGTATTAGGTTGTCAAATATCTCCGTTCAACTTTTTTGTCTTTTGAATTTCGCGGCTATGTATAAAGCGCTGCAGAGCTCACATCTGACAATACTATACATCCTTGATGGGACTTGAAATAACCTACAAAACGATGATATGCATGATTACTTTGGATACTGCGTTCAACAGTTATAGACGTGTAAATGTGGAATTCATTAAGGCCGAAATTCACACTATTTTAAAGTTTTTCTTCGTTAAAGGCAAATCCGCTAGATAAACGTTCCGTGAGATTAATGGTGTGTTATTGTCAGACTCATTTGCTTTGCGTCCATATCCAGTCTGGAGAAAGCAGAACTAACTACGCGGGTGTTCAGGCCGCTGATTTCAATTTCATCGCGATATATTGATATCATCGGCATACCCCAACAAGCTATACATTCTTATAAAAGATTGTACTTGCTCGATTAAATTCTGCAGGTCGAATTATTTTCACCAGCAGCAAATTGAAGAAGTCGCACGACAGGGAGTCGCCTTGTCTGAAACCTCGTTTGGTATCGAAAGGCCCGGAGAGGTCCTTCCCGATCCTGACGGAGATTTTGGTTTGCGGGGATTCCAAGTTCAGAGTTCGCGGCATAAAGGCAGCCCCTTTTCGGGTCTTTCACGGGTAATTTCCCACTTTAGTTGGCGCAGATTTTGGGTTCTCCCGTTTTGTGGATTGAGCAGAGYACACTTAAATTTCAACCTTTGGGCATGCTTTCGTCCGACTATATTTTACAAAGAAGCTGATGCATGGTCCTTATCAATTCTTCTCCGCCGTGTTTGAATTGCTCGGCCGACAATCCATCGGCCTCGCTGCATTTTTGGTCTTCAGGAGGGTAATTGTTATTCGAACATATTCTTGGTCGTGTAACGTCTGTTCCATCGTCATCAATTGGGAATCGGGTTCGCGTTCTCCTGGCGTTGTGCGTTCACTACCATTCAGCAGGCTGGAAAAGTGCCCTCTCCATAATTTTAGTATGCTCTGGGTATCGACCACTAGATCACCTCTAAAGGTTTTACAAGAGTATGCTCCGGTCTTAAAACCTTCTGTTAGCTGCCACATTTTTTTCGTAGCTTGTCAAGCATTACCCCTGTCGGCCAGCTTGACAAGCTCATCATACTCACATATTTCGGTCTCTTTCTTTTGTCTATTCCACAAAGGCGGGTGCGTATCTTGGCTGCAACAAGATAGTGGTMCGGGTTCATGTTAGGTCCTCGGACCGTACGCACGACTACAATACTGGAGACTTGTTTCCGTCTATATCGATCAGATTGGTGGTTTTTAGATCCGGAGACAGTCAGGTGGCTTAACGAATTTCTTAAGCTGGAATATAGTACTACAGATAACCATATTTCAAGCCCCGGCAAAGTCGATCAGCCTCAACCCATTTGGGTATGTTTCATAGTGAAGGCTGAAACCTTCAGGCACCGTAGTGCCAAAGATACCTTCTTTGTCCATTCTGTCGTTAAAGTCGGCAAGCACGATTTTGACATCGTGGCAGGGGCAGTTCTCATAAGTCGCCGTGCGCTTATAGAAGGCAGCTTTGGTCACATCGTCCTTCTCCTCCGTCAGGGTGTGGACGCAAGTCAGCGATATGTAGAAGAACTTCGCTTTGATGCGGATGGTGCCTAGACGAGACGATAGTACTAGGCAACGGAGTCTCTCTCCCACCACGAATCCCACACCAACTTTGCGCCCCTTTATAAGGCAACTGTAGTAAATGCCACAAGGACCTACTCGCCTCAATCCTTATCCCGTTCATCACATTTGAACGACTTGGTCAAAGACCGGAAGTCGTGAGCTGCTTGAGCGATATGTAAAAGAATCGTTTCTRGCCACTCTCAAGTGATTGGCGATCAAAGAACTTTCCTCACTTGTGTGAACTTCTACACATGACTGCATCCTTCAATAATAATATACTATACAATAATTTTTAAATTATTTTTAGATCTTCAGATTATTGCCAGTTTTTATGTGATAATGTGATGTTTCAGTAGTCTCATGTTTGAATCTAAATGTCGACGACCAGTCGATGTTTTATTGCAGAGCACGACAGTGGAAATCTTCAACATTGCCCACTAATGTGCAGTTTGAATAGATTCAGACTAGAAAATAATTTTTCAAATATCTGCCAACTTTCCTGGAGTGCATAGCAATTCACCTGAATCTGCGGATCTCGACGAGAGTTCGCCATATTCGCGTCAGTACGCACTTTACTTTTCCTTCTTTGCTAGTTCCGTAGTCAAAACAGAGATCAACAAAGTGGTTAGAGTCGCTAGCGTTGTTAGGTTTATGAAAAAATTTCCATTTTTGAATGAAGTGAGTTGAATTCTTGATCATAAGATAATACGAACTTTTTCATCACTGCATCACTCTGTATGATTTATTTCTGTAAAACTGACAGAGCAGTTACACCACTCTTCTCAGTTTATCAATGAAAACTAACCCAGCTTTCAATAGAAACTGTGGTTATGTGATATTCAAAAGAAAAGCTTAAAAGATTCAAACGAAATCGGATCAGCACTGGTTAGTAAAAACTAACTTCACACTCAAAGAGTTTTTTCTGGATTCACAGGCAATACTTTTACTGCAGCTAACCGCACAGAAATGGCTCATGCAAATGTTTTCATTCGAAAAGCTACGAAAAAGCACTCGCCAACGAAAACAAAAACGACTCGCCATGTAACAATCAACTTTCGAATCGAAATCCATAAAATTCAAAACCAAAAACTATTATCCTTTCTATGAATGTGTAGTGCGCGCGCCCAAGAGTAACGGTAAGTAAGCCGGTGTGTATGTGCTGTGGGACTTTTAGTCTGTAGAACATGCGGACATGCGACCGCAGCACAATAATGCTCGCCCGAAAACGTTTTGGTAGACGATTGAAAATTACACCAGCCATCGAATCGATGTCATAGATTCACCGCTTCGCTACGACTGCGACTGCGAGCAGTTACATGCAACAAAGCAGATGTTGCGCGTGTCGTGCAAAAGGATGTAAAGTGGAAGCGCAACCACGACGCAAAGAATATGCGGCGGCGGTGTCCGGCGGCGAGCCCGGGCATAGTTGACAAAACTTTACCACCTGTGACACCGCATGAGCAGAATGCTGCAACAAATCCAACAAAAGCTTTGAACTACGGCAAGTGGTCCGTGGTACGAGACACAATGGCAGGCATGATGGAGCGCAAGGATTATGGAGCGCTGTACAAGTGGCGGTGTGGTGTTGCGGTAACGTTGTGACTTTGTTGCGGTACTTGTGGTGTTACCAGCGCCATCAACCAACACTTTCAACAAAAATGGCAAACATAAACGAGCAGCGAACGACGACAGCATTTCGCTCGGTTCCGCTTTTTGGTCGGACTCAATTTGGCTTTGGTTTAAGTGTTTCACAGAGTTTTTGATCTTCTATCTCTGGTTTTTTATTCCGGTATTTTTCGTAGTGCGCTTTTAGCGCTTTGTTTGTACACTTTGCGTTCGTGTTTATGCGAATTTATACGCTTCATTTGTCAAGTTGGCGATTTCTGCGTATGAAAATCAGCTGCCAACTGCTTAGACAGCCACAGCTTGTATTTAGACACATTACTCTTGCGAAGAGCTCTCTAGTTTTACATTTACACAGGCACATGCCGTAAGTGTGTGCGTTCGCAAGGATGTGCTAAGTTGTGCACAAAATTCAGCAAATTCACAAATTGTTACGGAAATTATTTTCGATCGAGTTTGTTTGGAAAGCAATAAGTTGCGAAGTTTATTTATTGGAAATTTATGGGAAATTGAAAGCATGAATTAATTTGATGTTCGAAGGTAATAAAAGTAATGAAGGTGTGCTGTGCAGGTTGTTGTTAAGTGAGCAAGTATTATAGTTTGTTAAATAAGTAATAATGTRGGAAAGTGTTTTCGAAAGCTAGTACTAAACTAAAATTAGGCATTACAGGGTGAACAACACAATTATAGCGTGATTTTGTTACAATAGATACAATACCGYTTTGGAATATGTTTAGAATACACTTCACAARTAAAAATTAATTGATTGAATAGGCCAGTTTTTATGGCAGCTATATAACGGATAATCCAAGTAGAGGTACTTTTTTCAATAGCCTTTTGATGACAGATATCTTATAATAATAACTTGCGCGTCGTGTTAAGGTATCACGTTATTTTTGTTCAGTATTAGTTTTTGCAAGAACTGAAGCCGCTTGACCTTCCCAGGCGACATCGCTTCGTTCTACGATGATCCGACGTTTTCGAGCTAAATCTTGTTCAGCCATGAGACCAATTTCTGGCTAAATAGGTATGTCAACAAGCGAAATTTGCCGCTTTTGGGACGAAGATAAATCTGAAGAGATACCGTTCCATCCAGAAAAACCAACTGTTTCGTGTGGTTTATGGG